TTCCCCGCGCCGCGCCGTGGACGGCTGGGTGCCTTTGCGGGGCATGGTCGCTGGGGCGGGGAAGAGCCCGGAGCCAGTCAGTCCGGGGCTGGGGGTCCGCCCCCGCGCCTTCCTCGTCGGCCCTCGAGGCGGCCGGGCTGGGCCCCCCACCCAGTCACTGCCCGATCCGCTCGGGGAAACCTCGGACCACCCGCTTCCGAGAGCCCTGTTGAAACCCCCGCTCAGAGACGGCGGGTCCTCGGGGAAGAAGCCACAATAAACCCAAACGGCAAGAAGGCGGGTTGGTTTTCCCAACGAGACCTACGCAGGTGGGAAAACCTAGACGTGCCTGGGAATCAATCAGCTGCCTAAGTTTTTGAAGCCCTCGCCCTCCCGATCGCCCACTGTATACGTGGATGAGAATATTCCCTATAGTTTAACTTACAAACGACATAACCCCACACGCCGACGTTTACTGACATGCCCAGGCTCTCTGGGACAGCGATGCAAGCGCACTGACTTGGAGAAGAGTTAGCCTCGGCCCTGAGTGGCCATCAACTCTTCCCAGACTAGCGAACAACAAGGAGCGACTCGCCGCCCACTTTCCGCTCCCCGCCATTTAGCTCTCGGAGCCGCGGACGGCTCGGGGGCTTGGCGATCTCCCCTCCACAGCCCGACCCGGAAGGGCAGCCGAAGGCTGGGGCCGGCCAGTAGCGACTTCCAAATCGGACGCAAGCAACGCGGGCTTCGGTTCAATCGTTTTAGGATGGCCGGCGGCCGAGCCCCGTTAGATTAAAATTGACCATGAAGGGTCACCAGTGAAGGCTCAGACTCGCTAATTAGTCCTTCGGGAGACGAGAGAAGGGCAGGGGTCGGGATTTTTTGAGAAGAGGTCCGCGAGGCTTGCAGCCCCCGGAGCAGACGCCTAAGGAGCTGAGAAGCGCGCGGGAGCTCGGACCGCGGGGAGCGGCCGAGGGGGGAGGGGTGACAGCGAGAGAAGCCTCTCGGCGGCAGCTTCAGTGCCGACTTCGGCTGCCCGGCTCCAGGCCTCTCGTCTCCAGGCGCCCGCGGACGGGTCAGCAAGTAAGAGTTGGACAGCCTGACCAGGAAAAGAAGTACTTTACCTACGGGGCAGTCCAAGGTTAGAAACGGTTGTGTAACCGCTCCCCGCTCCTACCGGTGTGTCAGCTCCGGGTCCTTCACTCGAAAATGGCGCCTAAAATACAAACTCGAACGGAAATTCGTTACAAATGCGCGCAATGCTTTCTGGGATCCACCAATTTGAAAAAAAGTGCGGCCACTATCACCGCCATCTTCTGGTCGCTCCTGCGCAAGTGCGAACTCCTGGCGGAACTCGGGGGGTAGGGGACGTTTCTACTACGTGAAAAGGGAAAGCGAGGGAATGTTTACGCTGCGGCCGACAGCGGGAGCATTATGATAAACAATATTTTTAAAAAACGTTGCGGTTTTTGAAAAAGAGAAAAAAATAGAGCCGGGTTCCACCCACAGCCGAAGGCGAGGCTCCGCCCTCCAATCACACCCCCTCAGGAGAGGGCGGGCTCGCTGCGGGGCGGGGTCTGCGGTCCGCCGGATGACGCGCCGTGGGGGCGGGGGGAAGTATCGCGGGAAGGCGGGGAGCGTTGCTGGGAGAAGTCACTATGGTGACCGGAGGTCGAAGGATTGTTGGTGACTGGTGCTAGCTCTGTGAGGGCAGTCTCCACAGCTTCCCTGGAACTTGAGGTAAATCTCTTCAGCTCGTGACGTGGTGAGGAAAGGGTTCAGAAGTTGTAGTCGGCACCTTTCCTGCTTTGAGGGTGTGTACGGCGTGGAGCATCTTATTTTCTGACTCGCTGGGGGCAGTGGGGCATGGGGCGAGGCTTTTGGGATTCGAAGGAGCCCTGAGTTTGAGGGGGGAGGGTGGCAAGGAGAAGAGGAGAGCTGGATTAGTAAGTGATCATATACTCCAAATGTGAATAGCAGAATAATGACTTTCAAGTTACTGGTGTTAGGTCATTAGTGTTATTAGTGAAAGGGGGTTTCGGGGTTTTAAAATTATTTGACGAAATGGCTCCGTAATGGAAGAAACAATTTGCTGGTGTCATCTGATTATTTTATCGATCAGCAAACATTTTTTAAGGGGCTTTTGTATACATGGCCCTGTGCAAGACAAAATCAGAATTATCCAGCAAGTACGGTAATTCCTGTCTCCAGAGAACTGAGTTTTGTTTTGGGGTTTTTAACCTGGGTCTGTGGATCCAGTAGTCGGTGATTTGGCATCAGAACGATTCATAACCCCTCTGAAATTTTATACAAAATTATGTGTGTTTGTGCATTTTTCTGAGGGGTTAGTTTTCCTGGAACTTTCATCACATTCTCAAACGTGGCCCTAGGCCCCCACGATGTTAAAAAAAAACGACTGGCTAATTGAGATCTCCAGTAAGTATTTATCCAGGACTCTTACTACTTGGCATTGAGAACTGGGAATCTTTTTTTTTTCCCTTTACCTTTGCATACTTAGGGCCTAGCCTAGAAGCCTGGCAAATTAAAGCAATAAATCTGCTTTATGAATGAATTTACATTGTCACTCTAAGCATGTAATGGCTCCTGGCCTGAAGGAGCATAAAGTCAGGTTCAGAGGTGGGGAGGACACTCCCTACAAGTGTAAAAATTTGGTGGGGTTGGGAGGCTGGTGTGGTTTGAATAAGCAATAACTTGACATCATAATATGCCTTTATGTTTGAAGCTGAAAAAATACTGTTTTCATAACACAAACTACAGAAAATAGAACTCATTGAAAAAGTTTTTGGCTGGTAGGCATACCAAGAAGATCTAGTGATTATCTTTGAGGGCTCTAGAATCTTGTGGATTTAAAATTGATGCAAACAGTTAATGTGCTTGGCTGCTAACCGAGCACCTGGGAAGAAAGGCCTGGAGATCTACTTCTGCCTATAGGGCACAGTTCTACTCTGACACACATGGGGAATCAACTCAATGGCAACTGGTTGGTTAATTGTTAAAACATTACAAAACCTGACTTGGAGAGACATCGACCACGAAAAAAGCAGAGACTAGACCAAATTTAGTGATATACTGTATATGAGTGACATAGCACAATGTAATAGAAAGATGTAATCTAGAAAACTTAGAATCCCAAATCTCATCATTTTTTTAGCTACATGCTTTGACAATTTACTCAATTTATCAATCTCTCAGAGAGTATTTATTTATAAAACCAGTATCTAATACCTACCTCATAGGATTGCTTATGAAAAAATATCTAGCACACGTCCTATAAGCATTTGATGTTGTTATGTTTATGACATTGACTTTGTCAGGATATGTACATGAAAAATGGGATGTCAAGTTAGAGAAAGAGTAGTTTATGGAAGGTCTTCAAAACCAATCCAAGGATGTTAGATGTGATATGGAAGAAAACAGAGCTATTAGAAAAATTTTGAGCCAAGGAGTGAGTTGGTGAAAATAGGAAGAATAAATAACAGTGGTATGTGAGTGTGCTAACAGGGAAAGGGACTGAAATCAGTCATGACTTTAGTTAGATTGTTGCTGTACAGTGCTCGTGAGAGGTGAGAAGTGCCTACACAGTAAAATGGAAAAACATCCAGAGTCATTTTGGGGGAAAAATCTACAGCTTTTGTCGATTTTGATCAATAAGAGTATAAACTTAAAATCAGTCACATACTGTTCTTTGTATGTGAATCCCTGAATTAATGATAAAAGGATGGGAATAAAAATAAGTCTTAAAGATAAATCCTAGTTTTAGTGCCTTTGATGATTGCTGTCAATAACTGATAAGAAAGTAATGTAGTTTCAATAAATCAATAAACTGACCTGTGGCCTTAGGTTTAATTGAATCTAACTATGCCCCACGAAGAACAAATGTTTTCAAAGCAGGCTTAAATCAAGTTACATAATGAAGAAAAGACATTCATAACACAGCTACAGAGTAGACTTTAATCTAGATATTTATATGTGCTATGAAAATAAGACACTGAGATTGAATATAATTTTTGAGAAAAGATTTAGGTAACAAGAAATAAAGACTTGATTGATCGTTGCCAATACTTTGGACATTTCTCATGAAATTAACAGAGTCTAATTATAAAAAGAAGCTGGTCCCACTAGAATGGACTGGGTTACAGTCATTTTGTAAAACATAACCAAGTCTCATCTTCCTGGTCCAGAATCATCTACCAACAATCCTTACCGCAGTGTCAGGCAGTCTGAGAAGATAACCCTTATTTTTTACATTAGAAGGGTAAAATTTTGTCCCACAGGAAGAAGTAAGTTCAAAGAGAAAAATTAGAATTAGAATTAAAATCCACATTTGCAGTTCTTTAAGTATACCGTTAAGTTTTGTAATTAGTATGTGTTCTGTCTGCCTTCTAAAGTGTGTACAGCGTTTAAGAAAGTCGGAAATTAGATTTGTGAGTAAATGTTTAAAAATATTAACCAAAAAGGTTGAGAAGTTAGAGGGTTGACATGTTGTGGGGTTGTTAATCAATGTCATAAAAACAATATGTGCACTACTGTTTGATGAGAAACTATTTGTTCTGTAAGCCTTCACCTGAAGTACAATAAAAAAAAAAAATATTAACCAGTTAAATTTGTATTAACTAATAAGATGAATAAATAAGCATGAACTGTGAAAGTAATATATAAATATTTACAGAATGTTGCTCAAGATTAATATATCCACTATATTAATCAAATATATTAATAAAATTGGATAAGTACAAAATACAGGTAGTAATGAGTATTCCTCTTGAAAATATAAGCCCCCTAGTGCATTAATCTTATTGAAACTCTCACCTAATGTATCACAGAAAAAATGCGAAACTGAGAAGTGGAACAGTTTTTTTGGGGAAAAATAATTTTGAGAGATGAGTCTGTTTTTATTCATGTAGGTTGGGATTACAGTGTGACATCCAGGAAGATATATTCAATGGGCAGTAGAGGTGGAGAATATAGGATGAGATAGTGTTACAAGAATAGATAGGAATACTGAAAATAGATTAGGTTTTTTAGGCTGTGAGTAGAGAAGAGAATAGCAACCGACTGGGGATATTGAGGAAATGTCCGTTCTTAGAATCTAGGAAGAAGAAATAATTACAGTAATGTCTCAGGTAGGACCCTCCAGGTTACAAGTGACAGAAAACCCAATCCATATTGTCTTGAGAAAAAAAAAGTTACTGGCTACCATAACTAAAAAGTCAGGTGAGTATAACTGGATTTAGGGACTCAAACAAAGACACCAGGATTTGGTTTCTTTTCTTTGCTCTACTCTGCATTCCACTGCCTTGGCACTTTTCTCAGGCTCTACACAGTAGCCTCCGGCACCTCCAGGTTCTCCTCTGCTATAGTAAGATAGCTACAGTAACTTGAGCCTCAAATCCTCTAAAATTAAAGACCAGAGGGTAAAGAGAGCTTTTCTCCCCCTTCGTTTATTTAAATAAAAGTACTGGGCCACCTGTGAAACAGCCACTGTGTGAAGGGAATGGAATGCTCTAATTGGCTTAAGTCTGGGTCTCATGCTGGCTCCACTCAAGCCACATGTGTTAAGAGTGAGGAAGGCGTTGTCCCAAAGAGAAATTCTTTGTAGCAAGGAAAAGACTGAATATATGTGGGGTGATGAAAACAACAGTTTTCACTACAAATAGCGATTGTTTAGTGCTTACTTTCACTACAGAGCCCTGGTGGCACAGTGGTTAAGAGCTAAGGCTGCCAACCAAAAGGTTGGCAGTTTGAATCCACCAGCTGCTCCTTGGAAACGCTACGGGGCAGTTCTACCCTGTACTGTAGAGTCGCTATGGACTTGACAGCAGTGGGTTTGTTTGTTTGTTTGTTTTGGTTTACTTTCACTACAGATAGTTAGCAGTTACTGAGTGCTTGTTATACTCAAGCCATGGTATTTTCAGTCACCTCATATGCATGTGAAAGCTGGACAATGAATAAGAAAGACCTAAGAAGAATCAATGCGTTTGAATTATGGTGTTGATGAAGAATATTGAATATACTATGGACTGCCAGAAGAACGAACAAATCTGTTTTGGAAGAAATACAGCCATAATGTTCCTTAGAAGTGAGGATGGTGAGACTTTGTCTCATACTTTGGACATGTTATCAGGAGGGACCAGTCCCTGGGGAAGGACATCATGCTTGGTAAGGTAGAGGGTCAGTGAAAAAGAGGAAGCCCCTCAGCAAGATGGATTGACACAGTGGCTGTAACCACGGGCTCAAACATAGCAAGGATTGTGAAGATGGTGCAGGACCGGGCAGCATTTTGTTCGGTTGTACATGGGGTCACTATGAGTCGGAACTGAATTGACGGCACATAACAGCAGCAACAACTATGTGTCAGGCACTCTACTGGGTATTTTACATACTTTACCTCATTTAATCGTCATGACCAAACTGTGAGTTAGGTATTATTAGCCCTATTTCACAACACATGAGGTCACTATGAGTCAAAATCAACTTGATGACAAACAGATTACAGAGATAAAATGCTTATAAAGAATAAAGAAGGAAAGAACAGTATCAGGAAGATAAGCTAGGTGAGAATTTCAATAAGGGAGTCAAGTACAGTAGAGACGGCAAAGAGAATGAGAATGGAGACCGTATGAAAGATAACACATTACCTTTCTTTTAAATGCAGAGGCATATAAAGAAGAAAACAAAATTGGGCCATATCCTATCACTCGGATAATCCTATCAAAAATACAGAAATGGATAGACTAAAAGAAGAAAACACTACAAATATGGTTAGAAGCCTCAAACAGTGCAGAAAGATAAAATGAGAAGTAAAAGCCTCCAGTCACCCCAGTGCCCCTACCCCCACAAAGGTCCCTATTGTTAAGTGTCTTGCATATCTTCCCAGAAAAATGCTATTGTGTCCACCAGCTTTAAATATGTTACTTTTTATTGCATAAAAGGGATTGCTTCATATAATAATTGTTGTACACCTTCCTTTTGTTATTTAACATATTTTAGATATCTTTCTATATCAGCATACAGATCCGGCTCATTTTTTAAATAGTGTTGACCCACACTGGACCAAAGACAACTTATAAATTATTTTTAGTAGCAAAGGTATAGTTACTGCCACCTGTTTCCTGTGTAAAGTTGCATAATAGATCTAGTTATCCATACCCTCGAAATTTTCTTTTTGGTTGCCCTCCCAGATATCACTGGATAGTCAGATCCTCAGTCACCAGTGCCTTTGGGCAGGTAAAAATACCTCAGTGCAGCACTCAGCCAGCACTTTCCTGAATTGGCTATGCTCTAATATGACTTCTTTATTCATCTGTTCAATCCCATATCAAAATGTACGTATCCTTCACTCAGGTGATCCTAGCGGAATGGAATGTATCGGTAAGATCTTCCTGAGCAAGAGGGAGTCTTCCGGTACTTGGATGCACTCTCCTCTTTCTTTGATTCCTTGGCACCATTTTCGGCATGGTTGCCACTTCCTTTCTTACAAAAACCACATTTCCTTGACTTTTTATAGAGGATTATGATTTCTTACATGATAAATTATCCTAATTATGAATTTCAGCAGTTTGTGGTATTCAGATGTAGGGTACATCATGCCTTTGCCAAAGATCTTTTAGGTTTCTGATCGTAATGGTATATTCAGCTTATATATGTGTTTTATTGTTTATTTGATGTTTGTCAACAATTTATCTGGCTTTATTCTTTTAAAATCCCTATAAGCTGAGTGAATTTTAATTACGAAAAAAGCAGCATTTTAAAAATATTGTTACTCTTTTTTTTTTCTCTGTAATTGGAAGAGGTCTGATGGAAGGGAAGGAGGAGTTTTGAGGAAGGTGCTGAAGCTGCTAGGGACAAACACTGACCCTGGGAAATGTGCCTGGGAGAGATTGTGTTCCAGCACTGGCTGCTGCACACAGTTCCGTATTTTTGAAGTTCAATAGAAACCTCCCTAAGAGTGTTGGAAGAGAGAGGTTTCTGATCCTAGTTGCACATTGGCTGGACAGATTTTTTCTGTGATCGAAACAGTTTTTCCCTCTAGTCTAACAAATTTGTAAGTAGAACAAGACAAAAGGGTGAAACGCAGCTGTATTTAGCACCTTGCTAATCTGGAGGTCTTCCTGGACACGGCGGAATGAGAAATTATCTGAGAGAGGCCTGCTGTATTCTTACCTATTGCCAACACTTCCTTTGATGTAGTTAGTAGTGATTTTCTGTTGGGTGAAGAGGATTTTTTTTTCCTTTAATTTAGTTTCATTTGATTTACTATTATTATTTTGGTTAGTGATATTACTCAGAATTCTGTAAGTGTAAATTGGACTCAGACAATTGAACAGTTTTTTGATGACATGGTTATTTGGGGAGCTATACTCTTCCAAGTTTTTACTTGGCAATTATGCTGCAATTTTTATGTAACTTTGATAAGCGGTAATAAAGTGGCTCTCATAAGTTACTTATTTTTTTATATTGTCACTGGTAAACATAACTGTTGGGTAATATATCTGTACCCCACAGAATGTAAACCCCATATTGGGCCACTTGGTTGATAATGTCCATGTGGGTTCCAGAACTGTCACGGCCCTTAAGAAATGTAGTTTAGGCCCCAGTCAGACCTTTGCAGTTTATTCTAATCTACATCCACTCCATAGGACCAAAATTGATCTGGGATGAGGGGTTCCCTGTTTGAAAAATCTTTTAATTTGGCCTTAGGACAGCCTTTGGAAACTCTTCACCTGACCTGATTTACTTAGTGGTGTTCTGGACCAGGGTGATCTCAGGCAGGTTGTGGAGGACCGCAGGGGTTGACCCTCAGGTCCTCAACCGTCCATTCCTTAGCAGGGCTGGCTTCCCTTCTAGTGTCCCTCCTCTTTTCCTGCGTTTAATGTGTTTCAGTCACCTGGGGGGTGTTCTAAGATGTTTCATTTGCCTTTAGTTAATTAATTTTTTTTTGTGCACACGTGTTTGTTTTTAATGCTGATTTTATATTTTTTCTTCTCACTTTTGTATTTACAGTGAATACAATCAAGTACCATTTTTTTGGTTTTGCTGGAAACTGGAGATTATGAGGCTGAAGATCTCTCTATTAAAAGAACCAAAACATATCCTTTTAATACTTACAGACTTTATTGTGATCATCTTATTATAGTATTGTTAAAAATTTTCTTTTATTTGGTTTTCTTGTTGGAAAATGTATTTTTTTTTCATTTAATGGGAGCTTAGCTAAATTGTTTTTTGAAATATTTAAGGTTCTGTGTGTTCAGATAACTCTCCAAAGCAAACTGTTTGCTCTAAATCTTACTTTCAAATTCTTAGTGACATTTTTCTTACTCTACTTAGGTATTGCACTTAAGTACACGTGCAGCACTTAAGTACATGTGCAGAGGTTTTTGTTTCGTCTAGTAGGATCTTAGAGAAGCTTTTTTTTTGTAAACAAAATAATTTTCTTTGCTCGTGTTCGTTGAGTTCTGCTTTGTTCACATTCTTGATAAAGTAGAGGACAAATGGGAAGTTCTGAGTAGTCAGACCTTTATTATTTTACATGGGAAGGTAGCAATTACTGTTTTCTTAAATACATGATTTTATATTTTGTCACCAAGAGTTCTCAGTTATGTAAAAGCAAGTATGATTGGCCCCCCTGGCATCATTCTTAGTCATTTAGACAATTTGACTCAAAGTATCATCTGTGGACTTTATTACAGGTCTCTGTAGGGAGGGGCTGGAAATGGAAAGTAAACTTTGAGAAATCTTTATAGTAAATTAACATTACCACAACATCCAAATGTAAGATCATTTTTCTAGTAATTCATTTTTATTCTGTTTTACAAAATGTCAACATACAGTGGGTTTGAAATAAAGAAAAATCTGGTTCTGCAGCAGAGAAGCACTGATTTAGACATTTGATTGGCCCTTTTGAGTTTATATGCGTTTTCATTTGTATTGTCTGCTTGTTTTCCCTCTTAGGTGAAAATATTCCTTTTCTTTCTCCTTAAACAGTTTTTCATCTGTTGTCAAAGTGTGCCCTCTGGAGTTCATACCAAACCTAATTTTATAGATTTTGACCACGTCCATCGTCTGCTCTTCCCTTTTCAAACTGAAAAATAATCATCTTTTTAGACTTTCTTATTCTGGCAATCCTCTCTTTTCTCCCATAATTCTAGTTGACCTATTAGTTTGAAAATACAGTGACCAAAAATAGCATCATGCCATCTCTGATGTGCACTTACAGCACTTTATATAAAGAAAAGCCAATTTTTTTTTGGTTCGGGATGCGTGTGTATGTTCTCTCTTTCTAGATTTGCCTAACGTTGCTTAGGCTGCAACAATTATATTGGAACAGGCTTTTCAGGAATGATCTAGTGACATCAGTTCCTTTTGTTTAGATTGTGCTTTGCATTCTAAGCACTCCATGCTACTCTATAACCTATCTGTACAAACTCTTAAGGTCTCCTGTAACATCCTTTTACCTTTCTGGTTATTTGCTTCATCTATCATCCTTTGAAGTGTTAAAAGAATCTTTCCCTTTGCTTAGGAAGAGCTTATCAACTACTCAGATGAACCAAATTAAGTATTGGTGAGAAAGGGAGGAAATAAAAGGATCCTATAATGACAATAAGAGAACAAACCCAGCCAGGCATAAGCTGGTAATATAGATATCCAGATTTAGAAAGGAGAAAACATGCTTTTTAAATGAGGAACTGAAATGCCTTCTGTAGGTACACAGTTCTGCTAGGGTGAGCAGCCTGTCCTGATGGATGAAGCGAGGGCTCCTTGAGCACTGTAACTTTTAGAGAAATCGTCCTCATAAGTTGGAGGCTGAAAATATGGGTTGAATAAAGTAAGAATTTTAGAATTCATATTTTATCCAGCTCTATGCGCCTTGTACGTGCAGTAAATTAGACTAGTTGTTTTCTGAATTCAGTGTCAAAAAGTTTGGTAAGATTTTACTTTCAGTTGTTAAGCTTTATGTTTTTTTCCTTTCGTATAGTGTTATTATAATGTGTAATATAATCAGATATTTTACCATTAAATTTCAGTCTTTTGTTAATATTTGATTTTTTTATTATGAAAATAATACATGCTTGTTCTAATAATTTAATAGTTTACTGTAGCTCCTTCCATACTTTTTGATCTGTTTGACGTCTTGTGTGTCTTTTGGTCTTGTTTTTGGAGTATTTTGTAATACAGAGGTTTTTAATTTTCATGTAGTTAAAATTTTTTTTTTCTTCCATTTTTGGCATCTGGATTCCTTACATTGCTTCCCATTCTTATAACTGCTTTGATATTTATTTCCCTCTATATGGAAAAAAATATGAAAGTTATAAAATGAAAAGTACCTTTAGGAGCTTGAAAATGTTTGGCCCTTTTTTCCTTCCTTCTTGTAATCTGTATGTGCACATTATTTATTAAGATTAAGACTTTTGTGTGTTTTATGTCTCTTTAACATGGCGACACATCAAGAATTAGTAAGCTGTGTGGGCTGGACTACTGCTGAAGAACTGTATTCATGCAGTGATGATCACCAGATAGTGAAGTGGAACTTGCTAACCAGTGAGACAAGCCAAATAGTAAAGCTTCCTGATGATATTTACCCAATAGATCTTCACTGGTTTCCAAAAAGTTTAGGCATAAAGAAACAGACTCAAGCAGAAAGCTTTGTCCTCACAAGTTCTGATGGTAAGTTTTTAATAAATGTTATATGTTCATCTTTGTATTTAAAATACACGATATATGAGTATAACTTATGCTTTGAGTTGTTTTACAAAACGGATATTCGTGGATTTGACTACCTGTTGTCATGGAAGAAAGTGAATTATACTGTGCTCTCCAGAGTTGAGTTAAGCTGTCATCACAGTGTTGATTTCTAATTTCTTCAAATTTAATTATAACATAACTGCACTTAAAAAAATAGTGGACATAACTCAGACTTGTTTGTTGTTGCGGTTGTTAGGTGCCATTGAGTTGGTTCTGACTCATAGCGACCCTTCAGTAAACATTTATTAAAGATAGCTTTTAGTATCCACTACATGTTAATTTCCACGTAGAGTTGGAGACTGTTTAATTTGATCATAGCTATATTATTGGTAAATAACAAGCATAGTATTTTCCCTACTTTTTTACTTTTTAAGGGAATGTTTTTGTTTTTGTTTTCTTAGAAATACTTGCATTATTTTCATCTGTTGTTAAACTTTACCCACTTTGTCAACTAGGGGTACATTCATGGAAAATAACAGAAACCGTATAGACTAATTTAGCACACACTGAGTTTTTGATTCACCTAGCCCCAGGGGCAGATCTTCAAACACTGCTGGATCAGGCCTTTGTTCTTGCAGTCTCTTAGATAGCTTGCTCCATCCACCTGGTGAACATGATGGGTGCCAGAAGCCCAAGGCTCATTCTCCTAGCTCAGGAACATCAGCAGGAAGAGTGCTTCTTTCTCAGTGTGTCTGACAGGTGAGTTGCAGACAGAGCCCTAGCCAAGCTTGGGGCATGTGCTCATCACTGAGTGAGTTTCTTTGGTCAAGGGAATGGGATGCTCTGACACGGAGAATGTGGCTAGTTTTCTTAAAAACCGTATTTTCCTGAAGCTCGATTAAATGAGATATATGTGTGAAAGCCTTGGTGCCTGACGCACAGAAGGTTGAATCCAAAGTGGAAGTGGTGATGTTTATATCACAATTAGAATTTAACTTACCCCAGATGATAAAGTAGAAGATTGACTTTTTTTGAAAACTTTTTAAAAATGTAATTTCACATTTACAGAAAAGTTGCAAGAATAGTACAATGAACTCCTACATATCCTTTATCCTCATTCACCAATTGTTAACATTTTGCCCCATATACTGCATCATCGGCTCTTCTCTGTCTTTCCCTTCCCTTCTCCCTGTATACACGCACATGTGCGCGCACACACACACACGAACACACACTTTTGTCTTCTGAAACATTTGAGAATAATTTGCAGATGTACCTCTTTAACCATAAATCCTTAAATGAATTTTCTGAGAATAAGGATTTTCTGTTATATAACCACAATATATTTACCAAAATCAGTGAATTTTTAACATTGATGTAGTACTATCATCTAATCTACAGTTCACATTTAAATTTCACTTATTTTCCTAATAATGTCATTTATAGAAATTTGTTTTTTTCTGGTCCAGGATTATACATTACTTTTGTCGTGCCTCCCTAGCCTGCTTTAATCTGGAGCAACTCCTCAACCTTTCTTTTTCTTTTATGATCTTGACAGTTTTAAAGAAAACAGGCCTGTTATTTTGTAGAATGTCTGATGTTTCCTCATGATTAGATTCTTTTTATATATTTTTAGCAGAAATATTACAGAAGTTTATCGTGTCCCTGTCAGAGTATCAGATCAGGAGACTTACGATGTCAGTTTGACCAGTAATTGGTGATGTTATCGTTGCTTACTCGGTAAGGTTGTGTTCACTACGTTAATACAATGTGAAGTTACTATTTTTCCCTTTTAATAAATAATTTATAAAGGTATACTTTGAGACTAGGTAAATGTTCTCTTCCTCCTCAAGCTTCCTCCCACTCTCTTAGCATCTGTTGATGATTCTTGGCTGAATCATTTATCGCTAAGATGGTTGCCAAATGGTGACTTTTTTTTAAATTTCAGGCTCACCTTCTGTTTTCCTAGTCCCAGCCTCTAAATCAGCCATTTATCTAAGGAAACCTGTTTTGTGTATTTTTCTGCGTTCCAGTGGGGTGTTTTTACTTCAAGACCCTTTCAGTGGACAGAGTTAAGAGATAAAAATGTAAATGTATGTTAAAAAAAAGTACATATCTATAGCTTTCTTTCTTTCTGTCTATCTGTCCATTCATCCACCCATATTAAAAAATCCTGAGTTCATACTGATACCACCAATTGTAATTTAAGACCACAGACTTAATTCTAGTCTTTCCTTTTTCCATATTTGGAAACAGTGAGGAAGCCTGGCTTCCATTATTCTCAATATATTTACTCATTTACTCAATCCTACAATATACAGTAAGGATTAGTTGCAGAATTGCTAACCCATACTGCTTCAAAAAATAAATCTAATTAGAGTTTAATATTTGTTTCATGTTGGTTTTTGTCTTTGGACCCAGGATATAGAGTCTAAGTCCTAGTTCAAAAGTTACTTGCGTTATCCCCCTAACGCCCTGTGTAAGTGTGGTTATGTTACTCACTGGAAATACAGTTAGGTTTATTTATTTCTGTATGTTTTTCCCCCATTCCTTGTTGATTTGATTTTTTTTTAAATATGTGAAACATTAACATGTATGGTTCCACAAAGTCAAAACTATATTAAAAGATATACTCAAAGCAATGTCACCTCCTCAGTCTCATACACCTTGTTCCCTTTTACTCCCTGTATGTAACCAATGTCTTTGGTTTCTGACTTATCCTTTCTGTGTTTCTTTTGGCAAAAATAAAGAGATAGATGTGTATTTTCTCATTTTACCTTTTTTAATACAGAAGGTGGCATATCACGTATTCTCTTTTGTACTTTCTTTTCAAATTCAGTGGTATCTGAGGATTGACTTTTATCTGGTGAATTTGGGCAGTAAACATAATTAATCTTGATAACTTTTGTTATCTAAGTTAGTGTGCCTGAATTATTGAGATTACTTACACTTAACTGAAGGGTAGTTGCATGAGAATCTATTTCACACTTGGCTTTAGATAAAACACTTTCTGATAGGAGGGAAAAAAATGTCTAAAGTAAAAAATGTATAGTAATTTAGAAGATTAATTTGCAAGATTAAATATGGCAAAATATACTGTGGATCTTGAGAAAGCATAATGTTTAATTTTATTTTAATGTTTACTCTATGAAAAAACAAATAAAATAACATAACGTGCCACAACGAGTTGTAGGGAGACGGGGGAGCAAAGTGGAGTGCAGTAGTTGAGTATTGCTTCCTAGGTTAGTTCCTGGGATGTTTGGAATCTTAAAGAGGGGGAAAAGAATGATAGCTCAAAGAGAAGAAACGGAAGAGTGAAACAGAAAACAGAACCTAGAAATGAAAAAGACGTGTTCAAAGAAGGTGGGTGACATCCAAAGGTGGTCCGAGGACCTCCTGCCACTTAAACGTCTGAGGTCACTTTGTAGTATAGTCCATGTTCATTAGTGCCCTTTTTTAAAAAAAATTCTTTCAAAATTTGATTTGTTGCTCAAGAGGTTCTCTTTTCTAGTTACCACCCTCACCTTGGTTTTTCCTCCCCTAAGGTTGGCAGAAAAGCAGTTACAGTTTCTGAAACTGTTCCCCATTCTTCCCTTTGTCCAGTCCCCTCCTTCTTTTGTTTGAAATTCAGAAAAGGTCCTTGGGGTTTTGGGCGGATCCTGAAGTATAAGAAGCAGACTTTTTTCAAGTATTTTCTCTCATCAGTAGTTCTAGCATCAACGTTCTTTCCTCTTTTTGGATATTTCATGCGGCTGTATCTCGCTTTTTAGAAGAGATGTTTCTTTGTTAATCACATTTAAAAATGAACTGAATTATTTAAAATGCATTAGAAGAACTGCTATGTAAAGGAATTCTGGCCTAACATCTTTTGTAAAGCCACTAAAGCACTCCTTAAATTATATTTAATGAAGGTTGACTTTTTTTATGCTCTGTATTGGATATCTTAAAATAACCTAAATATTCTCTTACTAGTTAATATGTCCAGTTTTAAATCTCACTTTCAAATCTGTTTGTGCGTTTATTTATTTAATTTTTATCAGAAGTTAGCCATTACCAATCTTTGTGGCTTTTTATAAACACCTGCCACATTTTTACAACCATTTGTCATCTGCAAAAGTGCTTATGTGCTCTTTTCCCGTAAATGCTGTGTTCCAAGTCTTCTTGTGCTCCCTGAAGTAGACATTTCTTAAGGCATTTCCAGTATTTTAAAATGCATTTCATGTATTTTTTTTAATTGTTGAGAATATACACAGCAGAACATACACCAATGCAACAGTTTCTACACGTAAGATTCAGTGACATTGATTACATTCTTCAAGTTGTGCAGCCATTCTCAACCTCCTTTTCTGAGTTGTTCCTCCTCCATTGACATAAACTCATTGACCCCTAAGTTTCCTATCTAATCTTTCGAGTTGCTGTTGTCACTTTGATCGCATATACCAAACCCATTGCCATCGAGTCAAATTCTGACTCATAGCAACTCTAATCTTTAGGGAAGCAGACTGCCACATCTTTCTCCTGCGGAGCTGCTGGTGGGTTTGAACTGCTGACCTTTCGGGTTAGCAGCCTAGTACTTTAACCACCGTGCCACCAGGGCTCCTTTGATCCTCACATACGTTGTTGTTGTTGTTGTTGGGTGCTGTCGGGTTGGTTCTCAGTGACCCTATAGGGCAGAGTAGAACTGCCCCCTAGGGTTTCCAAGGAGCAGCTGGTGGATTTGAACTGCCATCCTTTTGGTTAGCAGCCAAGATCTTAACCACTATACCACCAGGGCTCCTGATCACATATAGAGAGATCTTAAACGAGCAGAATGCTCAAGGCAGACATTCTTTGCTGGTTAAGTTAAACCATGTTTCGTTTTAAAAAGACTGCAGGGGTTTTTTTTGGTTTAAGGTTTAAAGATTATCTCAGGACAATAGTTTGAGCAAGTATTTCATGTATTTTCAGTCTACTTCCTCTGTTCTTTTTCTTATTTATAATGTTTTCCTTTTTTTAGTTTATCTTTTATTTAATAATGAAATTAATTTTATTCTCCAGGGTTTAGATAGTCCTTTTTTCTTATTCAAATCATCTATTGTTTGCCAAATGAAGGAATAAATGAATCTTCCTGGTTACATTCTCCTCCCAGCCCCACCCCCAGTGAGTAATTGGAAAAAAATTAATTAAGCCCTAGTCTTGGTCTTGCATTTTTAAAAAGTTATAGAAAAGCTGGGAAAGGTGTGGAGAAGAACCCAAATAGTTAAATGGACACTTACAGGTTTTAAAATATTTGACTTATGTAATTTTATGTTTATACTTTACTCTGGATGTGTTATTCAAACGATTTGTAACAATTAGATAAGATACAAAGGTCAAAGATTTATTGAGTGCTAAGTGTGTGCAAAGAGCTGGCCTCTGTTGTCCCGGGATATGTCTTCTATAAGATCACGGGATGCAAGAGTAATTTTAGCACTAGTCAGAAAAATTTTTGTTAGATATTTTAGGACAAGAAATATTGGTAATCTAAATACGTAAAATTTCTTTAAAAAAGGAATAGGTGACAGATAATTTCTGAGCCCTTCATTTCTGGTTCAAGAGTTATTTGGTTAATCTCTTTGTTGATGGATTCATTCATTCATTATCTTCAACAGTTGTTTATTATGTGGATACTGTGTGCCAGGTAATGTGCTATTTAGTGAAAAAGGCTGGGATAAAGTAAGTAATAATCTAAGGATTAGCTTAAAGAAATGCATTTTAAAAAGTACATTCAAATTCATTTTAGTCTCAGAGAAACTGTAGTAGCACAGTTGCATTCCAAGTAATCTTATTACATAGAAAAATGGCTCGGTGGTAAATATAAAATTAAAAGGAAAGGCTGAGGAAAAGTAGATGGTGCTAGTGGGATGGTCAGATAAAGGAAAGCAGTACTTATGGTTGAAGGCCTAGAAAATGACCAGAGGAAGAAAGCTATTAAAATGAATGAGAAAGAAAATGTCAGAGTGGGTCACTTTGTACAGTTACTCGTATGGTTACTGGGTTGGTTAAATTTAACAAATGCTGGTTATGTAAAAGCATTATTGCAGGTAAAAATGTGAGTAAGACATGACACCCTGCCCTGAAAGGAATCATAGCCCAATAAAAAATGCTGTAACAGAGCTGCAAATAAACAGTGACTTTGTTGGTGGGAATGGGTAGGTGGTCAATGAAATAACCACAGGTTGCTAGTTGTTAAATGTTTTAAAGCTATGTTAAGCATCTGACTTAAATTATATTTTTAATGAATTGTTAATATTAGGTCAGAATCTTTAAAAGTTAAAAGTGAATTTAAACATAATAAATCCCCTGAGCCAAAATTTGATTAGGCAGCTAATGTTCAATGCCACATTATTCTTTTACTGCTTTTACCACAAAAATAACTTTTTTTTTTTTTAATTTGGGGAAAAGTTTCTAGTTTCATTGTACTTTATGAGTTTTATTTCTCACTGTGTATTACTGGACTTCTTGATCATTCCAAACCGCACTGATCTTTCTTGGTTTCCTTTAACACTCACTCTGCAGTTGGTTTGCCCTCTGGACATCTCTTACGTAGTTGCTTGTGTCCTTTAAAATTTTAAGTTTTTTACTTTTTTGGTTATATATGTGTGTAAACTTCTTGAGAACAACAACCAAGTCGATGGCTTCTTTTTGCCTACCCGTACCTGGCACAGTATAAATTCATGTAAGACAGGTACTTTAAAACCTGAGATTATCCTTTTATCTATTTTGGTTCCTCTCCTCTACACCTTTTCCACCTTTTCTATAGCCTTTGAAAAGAACACAAGACTACAAAACTCTGCTTAAGTAAAAGTCTTCCTTGACATTTCTCCTGGCTCCCCTGGGCCATAGCCCAGCAGATCTTTGTTGTTCCTCTGAACTGTCATGGCACTGTATTCGGATGTGTGTTATAGCTCTTGTCTCAAAGTTTTGTTAAGTTTGTTTTTGTGCCTGTTTTCCGATAGATTTGAATGTTCCTTGAGAGTAAGAATAATTATATATTATTTACCTTGGTGTCTCCAGTGTGTAACGCTATGCTAACTAGTACTAAGTAATCAGTAAATGTTTGTTAGCTGAATAAATTGATTTAATGAGATAGATTTCTCAAGTGTAATTTTTTTCTTAGGTAAATTTCATCTGATTTCCAAGTTAGGAAGAGTGGAAAAAAGTGTAGAAGCTCACTGTGGAGCGGTACTTTCAGGAAGATGGAATTATGAAGGAACAGCATTGGTTACAGGCAAGTTGTCTGCAGAAATGACATTTTAAGTGCATTTTTTTAAAGAAAAGTTTCCAAAGGAGAAATGTTTTCATTTAACTATATGGTAGCTATCTAATATACTATCTAATATTTAGTATACTATCCAATAGCACATAATTGGTACAGTGTTGCTCTAGACTGCTATATAAATGTAATCACTAGGAATACCGTATTAATTATTAGTTTTCTTTGTGACTTATGGAAAATATTCAGTCAAGGAAGGTTTTGGTACAGTTGAGTATGGAGAAAATATTCTCATTTAACAGACCTTTACCCTCTTACATCTCCCATCCCCTGCCCTACTCCACACCCTACTCCAAGGATTCACATCTTTACCTATTTATTGTAGTATCTTTTGTTACATAACAAATTAATCCAACATTTAGCAACTTAAAATAATAAACATGTATTATCTCACAGTTTCTGTGAGTCAGGAGCAGTTTAGCTAGCTGGGTGTATCTGGCTGAGACTACCATGATGTTGCAGTCAAGATGTTGGATGGGGCTGCAGTCACGAAGGCTTGTCTAGGGCTGGAGTATCGTTTTCTAAGATGGCTCACTCACATGGCTATCCGTAAGAGGCATTAGTTCCTCACTGGCTGTTGTCAGGAGACCTCAGCTCTTAGACACAAGCCTCTACGTAGGGTGGTTGAGTGTTCTCACAACATGGCAGCTAGCTCTCCAAGAGTGAATGATCCAAGAGAGAGCAAGACAGAAGCCACCATATCTTTTATTACCCACCCTCAGAAGTCATACTCGGTCATGTCCACTACATTCGTTTCACTAGCAAGTCACTGAGTACAGCCTACACTCATGAAGAGGAGAATTAAGCTTCATCTCTTGAAGGAGGAATAGCAAAGAGTTTATGGACATGTTTTAAAACCATCACGTCTATCCCCTAGGCCTTCTCTAGGACTTTTCTCAGGGAGTTGTCCCTTCTCTCACATGTATCTTCAACTTCTCCTTTTCCAGTGGTTAGTTTTTCAGCATATAAATGTGTTCAGATGTTTCCTGTTTTAAAAATTAAGCAGAAAGAAATAAACATCCCTGCCTTAAGGAGACAACTCTGTCTAGCTACAACTTTTCTTTTTTCCCTTTTTAGCTAAGCTGTTTAAAAAAGTAGTCTACTACTTCATTCAGTCCCCAACTCACTGGAATTCGGCTGCAGCTTTTCTTATTACACTGAAAGCACTTTTGTTAGAATTCAAAGATGAAGACTGCCTTGAAAATGGAAACTTTATTTGAATAATATAATTATATCTTCTAAGATGCAATGAATAAGGAAGACCAAAGAAGAATAACGCCTTTGAATTACGGTGTTGGTGAAAATATTGAATATACCATATACTGCTAGAAGAACAAACAAATCTGTCTTGGAAGAAGTATGGCGAGAATGCTCCTTAGAAGCAAGGATGACAAGACTACATCTCACATACTTTGGACATGTTACCTGGAGGGATCAGTCCCTGGAGAAGGACATCATGCTTGGTGAAGCAGACGGTCAGTGAAAAAGAGGAAGACCCTCAACGAGATGGATTGACACAGTGGCTGCAACAGTGGGCTCAAGCATAACAACGACTGTGAGGAAGGTGCAGGACTGGGCAATGTTTCGTTCTATTGTACACAGGGTCGCTATGAGTCAGAACTGACTCGACAGCACCTAACAACAACAACAAGAAGATTGAAGGAAAAATAAAATAAAATTTTCATCATGGAAGTTAGGTTACTTTGATAAAAGTGTTTTAAAGTAATTTGTATTAAACCCTACAGTTATGAAACACTCTGTCATTTAATTAGAGTAAATTATGTTTGAATCTTAAATATGCATTAATATAGATACTGTTGATAAAAACCTAAAACCCGTTGCTGTTGAATTGATTCTGACTCATAGCAACCCTACAGGAAAGAATAGAACTGCCCTATAGGGTTTTCAAGGAGCATGTGGTGGATTCGAACCGTTGACTCTTTGGTTAACAGCTGTAGCTCTTAACCAGTGCGCCACCAGGGTTTCCAGATACTGTTGATACTTATATGTAAATTTAATGTTTAAATTTATTTTCTATAAAAATAGCAATTATTTTCTCTTTACAGTTGGAGAAGATGGACAAATAAAAATCTGGTCAAAGACTGGGATGCTAAGATCAACTTTAGCACAGCAAGGTATGTTTTTTAATCAATGATTTTATTTTTTAAAAATTATAGAATACAAAAATGTCTTCACATATTTCTTTAAAAACAGCCTAATACAGTTCTTGAGACTGAATTTGGTAAGGTTCAAAACCTGAACTCTTTTATTTCTATTTACACTTTTTCCTCTTACTTTCCATGTTGCCTGTTGGACCACTGTAGCCATTATTACTCTAGCCAAGAGTTATAAGAAATACTCAAGGGCTTTTTTGTTTATAAGTTAGTTAGTCTATATGAAGGTGATTATATGCTAAATAATTTTGAAGTTTTTGAACCTGAGTAGGGTTGTGTTTCTAGTTATGTAAATAGTATAAATCATATTGTGAGAAAACTTCATAATATCAGTGCCCCTTCTAAATTATGTTGTATATTTGGTTTCTGTACTAATGGAAGGGAGCAGACACACTGATAATTCAAAACTTGGTAAACCAAAAACTGTTTAGGAGCATCTCAGTTTTCCAGGTAATGGAAGAAGTGGCCATAAAGTTATTCTTATTAGAATTTAGACTACATATGCTACATATGTGTAGCAGATTTATTTTCCTAATTAGGTTTTGCCTAGGAATAATAAAGCAGTTTTAATGTTCATCTGAGCACATATCAGCTGGTCTTCAGGAACAGGTTGCCAAAAAACTTACAGACTAGTCTTTAGAATTATAGTCATATTGTGAAGCGTCTCCAATGACTGACTTTCCAAAATTTTTCAGATTTTATTTTTAAATTGTTTTTACTTTCAGAATAATGTTAAAATTACTGGAACGTTTCTCTTAGCCACACACTGACCAATGTTAGCTAAGGTAACCAGAAGTGTTAGGGATTGCTTATCTCCTGAGGTGGAATCTTTGTTACGGGTAACTTCCAAGTAGGATATTTATCCATGAGTAGAAAATTTATAGTTCATGGAAGCATTCATGGGTGAGTTTCAGTTAGGAAAAAATGTCAGTGTATTGTTACTTTATTAGTAAAGTGTACCTTAAAAAAATAAATCTTACTTTAATCTTCTAGTGGACATGGGGATTTACCTTTGGCTTTACAGTTTTTCTGTTTGGCTGATTATTTGGCATTCTCACTGTGGTGTCTGGGTTATGAGCAATTGACAGAATTCTTCCTGAGATCCCTGGCCCCATGGATGGACTGCAGGAATCCTTAGTAGTGGTACTGGGGCTGCAGTTCTTTTCAACTGTTGGTGCTGCTGAGATATATCCTTTTTTTCTTCCTTCTACCGAGTTTGTTGCATACAGAGGACACAGATCTTCAGAGAAATTCTGAAAGCTTATCCCACTGTCTATCATGTAAGATCTGAATTCCCCCTACGGCTCCTTCCATTTCCTTTACTCTCCCCAGTCCACCATTTCAGGCTTTCCAAAGTCCAAAGTTGAAACTTGGAATAAGTTTTAAATATAAATAATATAAATCAGAGAGCCTAGGTGATACAGTGCTGTTAGTTCAGTATTGTGGTTTACCTAGGAGTGCTGGTGGCACAATGGTTAACTGCTCCGCTGTCAACCTAAAGGTTGACGGTTCAAATCCACCAACTGCTCCACAGGAGAAAGATGTGGCGTAAAGATTTATAGCCTTGGAACTCTATGGGGTAGTTCTACTGTGTCCTGTAGGGTTGCTATGAGTCAGAATCAGTGGGATAGTAAACTGTCAGTGGGATAATTTACCTATATACGGGTCTGGAAACCAAGCTGCTGTTTATTTTACTCTTACGGAGAAAACATATTCAGAGTTTCCAAACTTGTAAAGGCAGTCTGAAGGCACAATATGGTCATAAATTAAGGACTTTGTATAAATCAGAGGTTACAACTAAGTTGTCAAGGCCTGTCTTCTGAACGTAGACCATTACTAGCACAGTGCAGGCCTGACATTAAAAATCAGTCGGATTTTCACATTTTCCATGCAAATTTGGACTTCCAGTTCCTCTTGAAAAATTGGAACATCTTGTGACATTGGCCTGTTTTCCTGCATAAATACAATCAGCTGGAGTTCAGTAGTGTCTGCTCCATTTTTAGTTACATTTTAAGCTTCTGTGCGTCTCCTTATTTTTCTTTTACTCTGCGCACTTCACTCATTTATGTTACGTGGTAGAACATAACATATCCCTGGAGAAATCTGAGTTTGCAACCCTTGCTTTTAATAGTAGTGATCATAAAATTTGATCATTAATGTATACCCTGCAGGGAACACTTAAACCTTTTTATTTTATTTTAAAATATTAGTTTAATTTTTAATATGTAATAATTGACATGGTTCAGAATTCAAAACTCAAAAAAGTATGTACAGTTACTTTATATCCTTTTTTACCTTTTAAACACTACCCCTCTCTTCCATATTACCTATCTTCCAGCTACTGAGCTCACATTCCCAGAGGTAACGTATGTTACCATTTTCTTGTGCAGCAAAGATATACAGTATGTAAATATTGTATTTACATATTCTTTTTTCTTTTATGAAACAAGTGGTACCATACTGTACCTACTATAGTATGCTACTTGCCTTTTTTCACTTGAATTATGAACTGTCTTGGAAATAGTTCCATATTGGTACATAAAAATCTTCCTCATTTTTTATTTATGATTGAATATTATTTTATTACATAAATTCATCCCATTAACAAATCTCTGTTTAGCCAGCTGGCGATAATTCATGAACAAAGAAAGATCTCTGCCTTCATAGAGCTACATCCTGTACCATAATCTTTTAAAATATGCTAGTAATAGATATTTAGGTAGTTTCCACTCTTTTGCTATTACAAACAGGACTGCATTGAATAATTTTATGTATACATCATGTAGTACATGTATGGATATAAGTGGAATTGCTGAGTCAAAGGCTATGTACATACGTAATTTTGATGGATATTTTGCCATATTACCCTTAGTTCTACTTATTTATACTTCTGCTAGTCATATGTATGAGTACTTGTTTTTCCTGTCCTCTCTTCATACTGTGTCAATACACTCTGTGATGTTTGCCTGTCTGATAAGTGAAAAGTTATATCTTAATATAGTTTTACTTTGTATTTTTTAACAGCTTTATTGAGGTATAATTTACACACCATAAATATACTCATTGTAAGTGTACAGTTCAGTGGTTTTTAGTAAATGTGTAGAGTTTCACACCCCTTACCATAATCTAAATTTAGAACATTTTCATCATCCAAAAAGTTTCTGTGTATCCATTTGCAGTCAATCCCTGCTCCCAGCCCAAGCCCCAGGCAACCCCTGATTTGCTATCTCTATAAACATGTCTTTTCTGGATGTTTCATGTAAATGGAATCATACAATATGTTATACTTTTTTTTTTTAAATAATTTTTATTGTGTTTTTGGTGAAAGTTTACACAGCAGATTAGGTTCCCATTTGACAATTTCTACACAAACTATTCAGTGACATTGATTACATTTTTCACAGTGTATCAGCATTCTCTTTAATTGTGTTGACTTTGGGTCGTACATAGGTGATTTATTAATGGAGCACTGTACTCACAGATGATATCCTTTATTTTGTGTGCCAATCTGTTATTTTGCTAAAAGATGACCTGAGGAGATAGTTCTGGTTCAAGGTTTAGAGTATCTCAAGGCGATAGTCTCAGGCAGTCCTCCTCTAGTCTCAACCGGTCCATTAATTCTGAACTTTTTAAGAATTTTCTGTTCTGCATTTTTCTCCTGTTCTGTCAGGGCCCATCTGTTGTGGCCCTGACCAGAATGGTCTGTTGTGGTAGCTGGGCAGCATCTAGTTCTTCTGGTCTCAGGTAGATGAGGCTGTGGCTTGTGTAGGCTATTAGCTCTGTAGACGAGTTCCTTCTCTGAGACTTTGGTTTAATATGTGATCCTTTTTGACTGCCCTCTTTCATTTAGCATAGTGACAACATAGCATGTTGTCAGTGTTCATCCATCCATCCATGTTGTTGTTATTGTTGTTGTCAGGTGCTGTCGAGTCACTTCCAACTCACAGCGACCCTGTGTACAACAGAATGAAACACTGCCTAGTCCTGCGCCATCCTCACAATTGTTATGCTTGAGCCCATTGTTGCAGCGACTGTGTCAGTCTGTCTCATGGAGGGTCTTCCTCTTTTTTGCTGACCCTCTACTTTACCAAACACGATGTCTTTCTCCAGGAACTGATCCCTCCTGATAACATGTCCAAAGTATGTGAGATGAAGTCTCGCCATTCTTGATTCTAAGGCACATTCTGGTTGTACTTCATCCAAGACAGATTTGTTTGTTCTTCTGGCAGTATATGGTATGTTCAGTGTTCTCTGCCAACACCATAATTCAAAGGCATCAATTATTCTTTGGTCTTTCTTATTCACTGTCTAGCTTTTGCATGCAAACATCATGATAAATGGAGAAAATATCGAAGTTCTGAAGGGTTTCATTTTACTTGGATCCACAGTCAACACCCAAGGAAGCAGCAGTCAGGAAATCAAATGACATGTTGCATTGGGCAAATCTGCTGCAAAGGTCCTTGTACAAGTGTTAAAAAGCAAAGATGTCACATTGAGGACTAAGGTGCCCCTGACCAACATCATGGTATTTTCAGTTGCCTCATATGCATGCAAAAGCTGGACAATGAGTAAGGAAGACCGAAGAAGAATTGATGCATTTGAATTATGGTGTTGGTGAAGACTATTGAATATTTTCAGCTACCTACCAGAAACTCAGAACCTCTTAAGTACATCTTTTCATATGCTTATTGGCCATGTATATATGGTTTTTTTTTGAAAAATGTCTTTCAAATCTTTTTTTTTGGTCTTTCAAGTCTTGATGTATCTTTTGAAGTATAAAAGTTTTGAGAAGTCCGATTTATCTAATTTTTTTTTGTTTGCTGTGCTTTTGGTATCGTATCTGAGAAACCATTGCCTAATCCAAGGTTATGAAGCTTTACATCTATGTTTTCTTCTAAAAGTGTTATAGTTTTAGCCCTTACTGTGATTCATTTTGAGTTTATTTTTATGTATGATGTTTA